AAAAAGTTCTTGTACGCTATGGACGTTTGTTTAACAACGTTTTCAGCGTTAAACGAATGGAACACCATTAGAAAAATTTAGTTCCTGCGAGCTCGAACCGCCGCCTGGGTGAGAGCCAGGAACTCGATCGCAGACCATACGGGACACAACGCTTTGTAAGGAATGGAAATTCTCAACTCTACAAAACGAATTGTAAAATCGTAGATTCTTCCCGGCAATTTATAAAAAAGTCTTGAATCCCGTCATCGGTTCTTTACACGTTTCCAGCGTTGAAACGCTTGCAACGCATTAGAAAAAATTTGCTTCCCGCCGGGGACAACCGCCGCCTGGGTGAGATGGAGATCCTGACCGCTAGACCACATGGGAAATCGCTTTGTAAAGGAATGGAAAATTCTCAACTCTACAAAACGAATTGTAAAATGGTAGAATGTAAGATTCTGGCAATTTATAAAAGAAAGGTCTTATTCCTGACGGTTGTTTAAGCCGTTTCATGCGATGAAACGTTGTAACAGTGCATAGAAAAAATTATCTCACGCGGAGTCGAACCCGCCGCTGGGTGAGAGGAATCCTGACCGCTAGATCCATACGAACACGCTTGTAACAGAAAGGAAAATTCTCAACTCTATCAAAGAATTGTAAAATCAGTAGACGGTTTAGGTTTGTCAAATCTAAAAAGTTCTTGTACTCTATGGACGTTTGTTTACAGCGTTTTAATCGTTGAAACGATGAAATGACATTAGAAAAACTTACTTATGCCGGACAACCGGGCTGCGGTGAGAGCCAGGAATCCTGACCGCTAGACCACATGGGATACAAACACGCTTTGAAACAGGAAAGAAAATTTTCATTTCACACATCGTATTCTAAAATCGGTAGATGCTCAGATTCGGCAATTTATTAAAAAAATCACCATGACGTTTGTTTAAGAGTTTAGCGTTGAAACGCTGATAACAGCGCATAGAAAATTAGTTCCTCGCCGGGAGTCGAACCCGCCGCCTGGGTGGAGCCAGGAATCCTGACCGTAGACCACATGGGACACAAACCCGCTTTGTAAAGGAATGGAAATTAACCTACAAAACGAATTGTAAAATCGGTAGACTGCTTAAGATTCGGCAATTTATAAAAGAAAGGTACCCCGTTCTGGTTTTAGACAGCGTTTCCAGCGTTGAACGCTGAACGCATTAGAAAAAAATTATTCGCCGGGAGTGAACCGGGCAGGAGAGCGAGCCAGTAATCCTGACCGCTAGAACATAGGGAACAAACCGCTTTGTAACAGGAATGGAAATTCTAACTCTACAAACAAATTGTAAAATCAGTAGACTGCTTAAGATTCGGCAATTTATAAAAGAAAGGTCTTGTACCCCGTGCACGGTTGTTTAGACAGCGTTTCCATCGACTGAAATGCTTGCAACGCGCGCATAGAAAAAATTTACTTCCGCGGAGTCGAACCCGGGCGCCTGGGTGAGGCAAATCCTGACCGCTATACCACATGGGAACAAACCATTTGAACAGGAAATGGAAAATTCTCAACTCTACTGAATTGTAAATATAGACGCTTAGGTTTCGGCAATTTTTTAAAAAAAGTTCTTGCATTCGCTATGGACGTTTGTTTAACAGCGTTTATCGTTGAAACGGATGGAACACGCATTAGAAAAACTTAGTTCCCATGCCGGGAGTCGAACCCAGCCGCCTGGGTGAGCGGAATCCTGACCGCTGACCACATGTGAGATACAAGACGATTTGATAACAGGAAAGCAAAATTTCTTCAACTCGTCAAAAATTTAAAACTGGTAGACTGCTTCAGATACGGCAATTTATTAAAAAATAGTTCTTGTCACCATGACAGATTGTTTAGGAAGCGTTATATCGCGTTGAAACGTTAATGCGAACAGGCATCTAGAAAAATAAATTAGCAGTCAACGCGAGGGTAACCCGGGGCCGCCGGGTGAGAGCCAGGAATCCTGACCCGCTAGACCACATGGACAAAACAGCTTTTGTAAATAGAGGGAATGGAAATTCCAACTACTACAAAACAATTGTAAAATCAGTGGGTGCTTAAGCATCTTCGGCAATTTATAAAAGAAAGGTCTTGTACCCCGTATTCGGTTCTTTGTATTTCCAGACCACACGATTAAAATTGGTTCACATAGATGTATTGCACTGTTTTATATTCAGGCAAAATTGACACTTTGTTGTTCTATATACCAGAAAGAGATTACGGTAATGATTACTAGAGTCATGCGTTCGTCGACGAAATGCCCAGCGTAATGGCATTTTAGTGCGTGGCTTGATTTCATGATAACAAAACCTGTTTAAGGCGATATACCGCAATTCGCACATAGACAATCACGCCTATAGATAGTGGTCAATTATTTTATCGAAATTTGCAACGAGATGATTTAGTTTTGCCAATGCCCACATTTATGGATGTTTGTTTTCTGATGAGCAGTTTTCAACTGTTGAAATGAGCTGGTATCATTAAAGTACTCGAATGACGATGGAAGATTGCCGGAAACCAGGGGATTTAGCGAGGTGATATGCAAACCTGGTCTGGTTGACGACAGGCGAGGCATGAGCCTGACATTTAAAATATGGCGCAGCTCATTTCAGGCTGGCTGACGGCCTCAAAACGACCGCTTACATTCGGCAAATTTTATTGTGCGTTCGTGCCACCACCGACGGCTGCTTAAGAGCATACCAGCGCTGAAACGCTTGCAACAGGCATCAGAAAAATTTATTCCCACAAGTCGAACCCGTCACCTGGGTGAGAGCCAGAACTCTGGACCGCTAGACCATGGGACACAAACTGCTTTGTAAAAGGAATGGAAATTCTCAACTCTACAAAAACGACAAAATCAGTAATGCTTAAGATTCGGCAATTTATAAAAGAAAGGTCTTGTACCCCTGTCATCGGTTCTTAGCAGCGTTTCTAGCAAGAAACGCTTGCAACGTGCATTAGAAAAAAAAAATTACTTCCCGCCGTGGAAACTGACCGCTTGGGTGAGAGTTGAAGCATCCTGACCGCTATACCACATGGGATGCAAACACGCTTTTAACAGGAATGGAAAATTCTCAACTCCACAAAAAACGAATTGTAAAATTGGTAGAATGCTTCAGATCTGCAATTTATAAAAAAGAAAGGTCTTGCACTTCGTGAACGGTTATTTAACAGCGTTTCCATCGATGAAACGCTTGTACAGTATCAGAAAAAACTTAATTCCCATGTTGGAGTCGAACTGGGTCAGCCTTTGGGTGAGAGCCAGAATCCTGACCGCTGTAGAACACACATGGGATACGAACACGCTTTGTAACAGGAAAGGAAAAAATTTCAACTCTACAAATGAATTGTAAAATCGATAGACGGCTTAGGTTTTGTCAAATTCTTAAAAAGTTCTGTACTTATGGACGTTTGTTTGACAGTTGCTTTAATCGAAACGGATGAAGTACGAATTAGAAAAACTTAGTTCATACGCCGGGAGTCGAAAACCGGGCCGTCGGGTGAGAGCCAGAACTGACCCGCTGGACACATGAGATACAAAACACGATTTGAAACAGGAAAGCAAATTTTCATTTCACACATCGTATTCTAAAAATCGGCAGATTCTGCTTAAGATCTGGCAATCATTAAAAAAAATGTCTTGGTACACCATCGACGGTTGTTTAAGAGTTAATAATTAGCGTTGAAACGCTTGCAATTGCGCGTAATCGAAAAAATTTAGTTCTACCGCCGGGAGTCGAACCCCGCCGCCTGGGTGAGAGCCAGAACGGACCGCTAGACCACATGGGACATAAAACAAGCTTTGTAAAAAGGAATGTTCTTTTCAACCTACAAAAAACGAATTGTAAAATTGTGTAGTTAGACGGCTAAGGATTTGTCAATTCTTAAAAGTTCTTGTACTCTATGGCCGTTTGTTTGACAGCGTTTAACGTTGAAACGGATGGTACAGAAAAAACGGTTCCCATGCCGAGAGTCGAACCCGGGGTCAGTTTGGGTGAGAGCTACAGGAATCCTGACTTGCCAGATTCACATGGAATACAAACCTGGTTTTAGGTCAGGACGGAAAAATCTCAACTCTACTAAACGAATTGTAAATCGGTAGACAGCTTAAGATTTGTCAATTTCTTAAAAAAGTTCTTGTACTCTATGGACGTTTGTTTAACAGCGCTTTAACTGTTGAAACGGATGGAACACGTGAAAAACTTGGTTCCCATGCCGAGAGTCGAACCCGGGCCGACTGGGTGAGAGCCAGAATCCTGACCGCCAGACCACATGTGGACATCACGCTTGTAAAAAAGGAATGGAAATTCTCAACCCTACAAACGACCAAAATCAGTAGACTGCTTAAGATCTCGTGGGTAATTTATAAAAGAAAGGTCTTGTACCCCGTCATGGGTTGTTTAGCAGCGTTTCCAGCGTTGAAAGGCTCTCAACGTCTATTGTGGTGGCCTACTTCCCACGCCGGGAGTCGAATCTTGCCGCCTGCGGAGAGCGAAGCATCTTGGACCGCTGAGTACCATGATAAAAAAAACCGGGTTTGTAGGTAGC